TCAGCAGACCAATCTGATCCAGGTGTGTTTTTGCCACATTATCCCACACCCGTTCTTGTTCCTCGGACCTCTGCTTATCCGAAGTAGAAACCTCAAGAGGTTCTCTGAGGTACAGTGGACCTCATCACAGGCCACACTGTGTACCTCCCTTTTAGGTGGCTTCTGAGCTCAGAGCCTGGTTATGGGCCAAGAGGCAAAAATGGAGATGAGGGTGGGTCCTGAGGAGCGCCAGCATGATAATGTGTGGTGAGAGCACCAGGTAACACAGGATTAGTTTCCTCAGGTGTAGGAGGAGAGGCCAGTACCTCAGGGAGCGAATAGGGTGGGAGATTTCACCTCTGTAGTCAGGGAAATCTCTTCCTCTGGAAAAACAAAATACATGAAAACCAAGAGACAAATGGTAGCTAAGGAACAATATTTGTAGACAGATACAGCATTATACACAACATCCAGAGAGCCTTTATAAACTAAGAAAAATGTAAATATCCCAGTAGAAAACTGGGCCAAAAGAGGAATGGACAATTCCCAAGACTCCCCAAGGAAGCCTTGTGAAGAGATCTCTAGGAAGCAGTCTCGGCCCGGGAAGCACCAAGTAAGGAGCAATGCACAGAAATCTCCCGGGATCCCTGCAGCCTCCTCTCCAAGAGTGGAAAGAATAACAGTGCTGCTGGGGCCAGGCCCTGGTGAGGCAGGAGGCGTGGGCTGCGCGCCAGAGAATCTCCATCTCTGTGAGCCTCTCTGCAGAGCGGAGGGCTTCCGTGAGGCTGGGCACAGCTGCAGGGATGGAGGACGAAGGTGCTGTGGGGCTCTGGACCCTCACTGCTCCCTGCAGGCCTGGGCCAGAGACAGCCCATGTCTTCCTGCAGAGTGAATTTGCCATAGCAGGAGAGGAGACCGGGCAAGTCCGGGAGGCAGAGGTAGCCACGGCCTCGCCCAAGGTCTCTAGCATGGAGGGCAAGTGCACTTGGGCTGCCCCAGGGACCTCCCTGGGGCATGACACTAAGTCCTTTCACTGGAGCCAGGAAAAGCGCCAGGGTCCTTGTCAGTCAGAACAGCGAGCAGAGGATGGGGTCAGATCTGCTCTTCTTGGGTCCAGAGGCCAGGAGGCCAGAGCTCTCCTCAGGAACACTGACAAGCCCTCACGGAATATCACACCGCCACAAACACAAACCAATCTAGCTAATCTTATTAGCTAGCCAGTCAGGATTTTCTGGGGGGGTTAACGCAGGGCATGAAATGTGATCTCATGTTCACAAAATGCACAATAAACCTTATACAGTATGGACACATTATATAAAAATGTTAGCTGTGTGCTAATACTTTGAATTCCAGCACTTGAGAGGCTGAAGCAGGAGGATCACTGAGAATTATAGCCCAGCCTATAATACCAATCAAGACTGCCTCTCAAAAAAAAAGAAAGAGAAAAGAAAAAAGGTAGGAAGGAAGGTGTGTAAGCTTGGAAGAGGATCTGCACACGTTCGATTCTTAGTGAAAGGGGTTTGGAGTACACAGTAGGGAGAGAGGAAGACCAACAGACACCTTGGTAGGCCTGATGTGAGCTGCTGGAGCCACGTCTGCCTGCAAGGCACCTATGCCTGGTGCCAGCTGGTGCGCTTGTTTCCTGTGCCCCCGAGTGCGTGGCTGTGGACACTGGGTCCTCGTGCTGCCCCAAGGGCTGCTTCTGCTCTGGTGTCCTGGCCGCGCTGCCCTTCTCACCAGGGCAGAAACCTCTGTCCTGATTGCTGCTGGGGAGCAATCACGAATGCACGAATTGATTTACTTTTCTCAGAGCGAGGATGCCCACAATCCCCGGCACCACGTGGGAGACACTGACAGTGCCGGACACGCTCATATTTGTATATTTTTACCTCAGCAGAGAAATGCCGCAGCAGAATTTTAAAAAGTGACAAACAGGAAAATGGCCTTGCTACAGCGTGGCTGTGATAATGAACGGCCAACCCCATGAATTATAAAGAGCCGGCATCTGGCAACGGAAAGACGAGCTGAGCACTGGGCCCCGCGCCCTGATCCCAGCCTCCGGGAGGCTGAGGTGCACACTTCAAGCCCAGCCTGGCCAGCGTAGTAACTTAGCGAGACCCTGTCTCACAACTGTAAAGGTTTTCTTAGAAAACAGCTGGGGACGTAGCTCGGTGTGAAGGCCGTGGGTTCGATCCCCACTAACACATAAATAAATATTTTATAAGACAAATGATCACATGGGAAAACGTGCACTGTGTACGAAGAGGCAGACACAGGACAAACACAAACAAACGGGGCCCGGCAAAGTCATGGAAGGATACGCGCTCTCTCTCGGGGGCCGCGACTCGTCCTGAACGACGCGCGTCTGTCTTTGCCAGTGGGGCAGCTTCCCGCCGAGGGCTGCCCAGCCGGGTCCCTGCCCGGCCTCCACTGCTCGGACAGCTGCTGTGCACCTGTGGGACAGAACCAAGAGACGTCGTTCCAGGGTGGGGAGAGGGAGACGTGGGAAGATTTATGAGTCGTAGTAAGGTTGTGTTTTGGTGTGGTTTTTGGTAAATGTAGTAAAGTACACAAAGGACAGCCAGGACAGGTTAGGCTAGTGGGGGCTGGGTGAAAGGGTACGGACAGCTGATGGGTGGACAGAGTCCTGATAGTTAGAGATGGATAGAAGTTGAGATAGAGATGGGTGGATAGATGGATGTTAAATAGACACAGACATGATAGATGATATATAGGTAAGTATTTAAATAGATAGAGGATTGAGAGATAGGCAGACACATGTAAACCTTTTCAATGCAAAAATACACTAGGAACTGCTGACAACATTTTACCTCCGAACAAAGAGCCAAGAGAAGTGATGGGAGGAGGCACTTTCCTCTCCACCCTGTGTGCCTTTGCGCCGTGAAATATTTCTGGCATTCCAAGTGGTAATCTATTTGAGAGCTTGTTTGTTGGAACAAAATATGTAATAATTCTCAAGATCAGACCTTAGCTTCACAGGAAAGCATTGACAGAATAAAATTTTTCAGCAGTGTTGACCTTTATCTAAGTAGTGTGTGAGAAATGTCCTAATTTTTAATTTTCAATTAATGCTAACACTTATTAGAGCACAGAAATGTCCTGTTTGGTTTTTTCCTACACTTGGGGACTTTACAGCCAGTGCACATTCTGGTAGCCTGTGACTCTTGGGCCCCTGAGTTGACATCCGCCTGTACTGCACACTCTACGGACCTGTAGGGTGCCAGTGTCCCCTTCCACACCACAGGGACAGGAAGATGAGGCAGAGGGTCCTGGCACGTTCGCACCTTGCTGTGGGGAAGAGATGGCCCTGAGGGGAGCGCCTGGCTGCACGGGCTGGCTGATGTCATGGGGAACCCACACGTGTCCTGACACGCAGGAGAGACAGGTGACCTGTCCCAGGCACCCGGGGAGCAGCAGCTGTCGCTGCTGTGCTGATAACCATTGGTCAAGTTGGTTTGCTGCAGCGCCTCACAAGCTGCGTAGGACAGCAGCACCAGGGAGCCCAGGTCAGTGACCAGGAGGACAGCCCCATGGAGAGGAAGTGTGAGGTGGTCACCAAGGAGGCTCAGTGGGCCCTGGTTTGCTGTCACCGTGTCCCACAGCAAGTGCATGGCTCACACAATGGAAATCTTCACCTCACAGTTCTGGTGTGATGATCTCGCTTCCCTCTGTGGACAGGCAGCCGGTGGCCGAGAAGCTCTGGACCCCGGGTGCAGGGCTGGCATCCAGATCCGGCTGTCTGGCTCCAGGCGGGTTATGGACGCTCTCGGGGCCTTGGATCTCTCACCTGAAGACCTGGGAAGGACCCTGACTTCCAGGCAGGACTGATGCAAGCTAGAGTTACAGAATGACAGTGACACACTCCAGAACGGGGCCCGTGTGTACGGGCCTTCAGTGAGCACGGCGGGTTTCCCACCTGGCTCACACCTTCAGGAACCACAATTACCACAAATAGTAGAATTCTCCAAACTGCAAGTGAACCACGCAGTGTGTCCACAAGGACATGTTATGACGGTAGAACTGCGTGAGGTACTCAGAAAATTAAATCAAACAAAACCAAATAACACGCTCAGTTTGTAATATCAGTCAGAGGAAAATGGAACCTTGAACAAACAAGAAAGTTCTCTGAGCATTTTCAACCTTTGGCTTTTGTTCTTTTAGAGTATGACATACAGCATAAACCAAGGATAGGCGGCGGGTTTATCTTTTACCCAACTGGAAAACGGTGTCAGGAAGGACTCTGAGGACTCATCGTCCCTAATATTTGATCGACCTCCACTGCAGTTACACAGGGAACAGGGGCATAGCCAGTGTACAGCTCACTATGCCTTGTCATTCCCAACTCGGGAGTCCTTGGACAGCCACAGGTCAGAGGGCTTGGAGTCAGGGTCCGCTGTGCCCCTGAAGTCCCTGGAGCTCAGGACCAGGCCTTCGCCACTCCTCCCCCTCCTCCCTCCGAGCCCTCCAGGGTGGTGTGCAGCCTGCTCCGTGCTGCCCTCCTAGCCCTATATCTGGAGAGGGAGGGACAGGATTAACAGGAGACCGGTCCAGCAGGTGCCTCCACAGCGGTGCATAGAGAGCCCCCGAGGCCCGCCGCTCTGAGGAAGGATCCACAGACAGCGAGGCCACTGCGCCAGGAGCAGAGAGCTGGGCCAGGCCCGGGACCCCGCCTGCCATCGGGTGAGTGCCAGCTGAGGGCTCCACGCCGCGCCACAGACCGGAATGCAACGGGCTGTGCAAGCCAGGAAGGGGTGGCTGTTGCCGACAAAGAGCAAAATGTGTTCTTCAGAGACATGCAGGAGACAAACTGTTCCTCCGACTTGAGTCCCTGTGCACCAAGGCCTCTGTGTGGGTGGCCATGGTGGCCTCTCAGAGTCGGGGTCTTTGCTCCAGGGTACACTGAAATCCCGCTGTCAGCTGCTGCAGGCCACCTGACTAGAGGAAGGCCACCGTGGAATGGTGTCTGGGGGCCCCCGGCCACCCAAGAGCCACCTGATCACAGGGTCACCTGGAGCCGCCTTCTGCCCGACCACAGGGCCAGAGACGGAGTGCAGGCCATCAGTGGGCGCAGAGGCAGCTGGGCGCATGCGTCAGCCCCTTCCTCCAGCCACACAGGCTCCTTCCTGCCCGCTGCGTCCTCGGGAGGGCTTGGGCCAACACAGAGCCTGTGTGACAGTCTGGATCCCACAGCCCTTCCCAGAGGAGAAGGGCAACCACTCAGGAGTTGCGGGCACAGGGAGGCCCTGGCCGGTCAGGGCAATGGCGGTGCACACAGGGGACCTGGGCACCTGGAGACCCAGCCTCATCTCCATGACAGTCATTGCCATAGCTGAGGCATCCCAGGATCTCAGAGAGCCCTGGCCCAGAAATTCCAGAAGATATCACCCGCTCCCCTGTAACAAGTCCGTGTGATTATGGAGGCACAGAGGCAGAGACCTGTGGTCAGGCATAGCTGGGCCAAGGGCTGTGCTGTGATGTCACCCGCTGTACCCCAGCAAGACCAGAACCTCCAAGCAGGGGCCCTGGAGGTGAGGGAGAGGGACAAGGTCTGGGGAGCCCAACACGGACACCCACAGAGTCACTGCAGCTGCTTTGGCTTCAGGACCCCAGCGGAGTTGAGGGCCAGCGGAAGTGTGTGAAGACACAGTAAAGAACTGGATTAGGCAGTGAGACACCTCTCCGGCCAATCAGGGCACGTTACCATCCCCTGTACAGGTGGCCCCGACCTGGCGTCTGCAGGGAGCCTGCCATGCCGGTTCCCTGGGTGGGCCACAGGCCTGGGCCACTGACCTGGCTGGACCCAGCGTGCCTGGGACCCTGGGCTGCTGTGGGCTGACACCCTCTGCCACCCAGGGCCAGAGCCTGGCAGTCCAGATCCCTTCTTCCCACGGGGAGAGCGGGCCGGTTGGGTCCGAGAAGGAGGCCGACGCAATGCAAGCTGCCTCTCTGGAGGCTGCCAGAGGCGCAGAGCCACTTAGCACTCACAGAAAGGTCCGCCACACGCTGGGCCACCCACAGAGCAGCAAAGGCGGCCCTGGGTCAGGGGCTGGAACCAGCTGTGCCCATTCCCTGGCAGCTTTCTCATATCTCCCTGCTTTTCTATGCCACCAAGGGCTTGCATCAATTTCTTGTGTTCAGATTCACTTCTAGAAGAGAAACTTTTAGTCAATGTTCTTTTTTTATTCTTTGTAAAAACTTTAAAAAGCTTAAAACCCGTATCCAGGCAGGCCCTACTGTCAGGTCACAGAATAAAAGAGGATTCTTACCTAAGCAGAAAACAATGGAATGAAAAACTTCCAATCTGATCAAACTACTTCAAACAACCCAGGCAAACCCCAAGAAGTTCCTGTTACACACACTCTTCTAAACATGGCGCTGGGCGTGGACAGAGAAAGGGACGTCGGGGTTCCC